CTGATGCAGTGGAGGAGTGGAGCTTAAATACTGGTGATAACAGGTGAGTGGAATGAGCTTGATTGTGATTTCTGTGACGGGAGGGGTGAAGCAATGAGTGAAAAACTTGGCTGTGAGAAACTATGACGTGAAGTGAAGGCAGGACAGACGTGGTTCATGACATTTTGTTTTTTATTCTCACAACACTAATAAATTTTATGCAAATATGTGATCAAGACTACTAATATAAAATGTAAAACATGTTAGCTCATGCTAGCCTGTTATTTACCTAAATAATCCAACTTCTTTCCAAGATTTTTCTCTCAAATCCATCAGGGTTATCTTTAAACATCTTTAGGACTACATAATAATAAGGATTAGGAAAAAAAAAATGTCTGACTAATTCAGCTGTGCTAGTTTTTATGAAATTCTGTATAAACTGTAGCCCGTATYTTTCTTGTCTTTTTCAGTCCTGAAGTGTAAAAATAATAAAATTCAAAATATATTTTTTTAGGTTTATGTCACCTCCACTGGCCATAAAAATTCCCGAATTGGCCTTGAAAAGGCCCACAAACCACCAGTTGATAACCACAGTTGTAGCTTATTTTGCGGCTCTGGACACATTTTATTAGTGAGCCGAGGAGCAGAAATGGCTCTTTTGATTGTAAAGGTTGCAGACCCCTGATCCWGAGTGATTTAAATTGGTCATGTGACTGGGACATCTAGGAGTCCAGGGACTACATTAATAATCTAATTGAATACCACAATTAATTGTGACAATATCACCCAAAGCTAGTGCTAAAAAGCAAAGAGAAAGATCAAGTAAAGGATYCACTACACAACTTATTTCGGCAGATTTCTTAATTAGGTAAAGTCTGCACTAATTAGGGACAGTGGCATTTCTAGTTGGCACACAACGCTCTTAGTGTAACAGTGARGACAAAGTGTGAGAACAGCCAACTAATGTTGGAATTTCTGGAAACTGGACCCAGTCGAGTGGGTGRGCAGAACGAATGCTCATGAAACAAAAACTTCTAAGACAAAAGATCACAGCCTTAAGGGGAAAAGAGACAAAAATATACATTTGTTTTTCTTTTTAAAACACCAAATGTTGGATATTTGTCTCATCTCATAGTTGCTCGCACATTATTTGTTTTTCAMTTCTCATCTTCCACATTTTTATATATTTTTTACCAATAGTAATGTGCCAAAAGTCAACAAAAAAGCCAAATTAAAATTAAAACAACAATGAAGAYCAGTGCTGACAAAGCAGCAGCTCTTAATGATCATACATGTTTGTTTACCCTTTCACTATAGCCCTCACAAGAGTTTAACGTGTTCAGTTGGATTTGGTTTAGTCTGTGATCCCCTATCAGGTTGAGTTTTAGGTATAATTCCCAGTCCATATCATATAAATCAACTTCTAATAGACTGATAGTATGTGTTCCAAGTCTTTTCAAATCTGTAGACTGAAAGTMGAGTGGTGTGTCCCCAGCTGGGACTGTTGAGACCGTTCTCTCCCTTTCACCTCAATATCATACAGAGGACAGGGCTGTGCTGAAAGAAATGTGAAGAAAACTACACAAAGAAGTGAATCAAATGTTGTTTTCTTTGTTAGACAATCCCTTTTTTCAGTCTGTATTTGTTAGATCATGTGTTTTTCTTCTCACTCAGWAAGCCATCCATCCGTTTGTCCATCCATTTCCTTTTACTTGCTTCTTCTCTCCAGGGTTAAGAAGTAGCTGGTGCCAATCTCCAGCAGTAGAGGTGGGCGGGGTTCATCCTGGACAGGTCACAAGTCCATCACAAGGCCACATACAGGCAAACGACCCCTCACACTCACTTAGGGACAATTTATCATTACCAGCTAATCTAACAGGTTTTTAGTCTGTGGGAGGAAACTGGAATACCTAAAGAAAACCCATGCCTACACAGGAAGAACATGCAAACTTCAAATATAGGGCCTTCTTGATGTTTCTCACTGTTAATCATGTATTTAAAACAAACAAAAAGAATTTCAATTTATTACTGTTACAGTAGACATATTTTTCAAAAATCATTAAAACATGTTTCCTGTGCTTTTTTGATTTTGAAATATCTCACAAGCTGCTTAGGAGGGGGAAAAAAATCACATCTCACATTTATCTTCTTTCGACTCCTACTTCAAGTCGTGCTGCTTTGATTTTACCTCTGAAGTGAGAAGTCCAATTTTTTCTTTTTTTAAAAATATAAATGATTTCTGCTTTAATGGAACACGATAAAAAGTCYTATTTCACTTAACATCAGCTCTACCAGCACCTTACAATGTCCAGCAATTCATTTCCCAACTATCTGATTTCCTTTTTCGTTCA